AAAAAAAAAAAAGAAAGAAAAATTAAGTTATTTTTCAATGTATTCTCTTTCCGTCCCCCAAGAGCATTAGAGTTAATCAGGAAAGGACCCAAGAAAATGGGAGAAGGGTTTTTTAATACGGGACTGAGATCTAAGTTAAAATACTAATTCCATTAAGAAGGAAAAAAAAAATCCTCCATTGTCAGTCTTGAGAAGTATGAGCATGGGGGATAGCAGGATCACAATTGATGTAGGGGACAGGAGAGAACTAATGAAGAGTAAGTACTGTGTACTAGAACCTGAGACTAGGCACTCCTCATTTTGAACAGTGAGTATAGTCTCTGTACTATCAAAAGTGGTTTTTGTCATATAATTAAATATGTGTTTGTAATTTAAGAAGTAGGGATGGACTTTTGTTTCATGTCTGTGTTGAGTTTATTATATACGAATCCCAGAGACATTTTTGTGGGATAGGAATGAATAAGTGACAGTGTAAAAGGACTTTTTAAAAAATTATTTTGGCGAGAAAGCTTTTAGTTCCCTTCCTCAAATCCCATCAGCACTACCTCAAATAAACACACAATCAGTGTAAACAATTGTGCCCTTTCTTTACCAAGGCAGCTTCAAGACAAGTCCTGTAATAGTTACTCTCCTCACTTCCCCCAACCAGAATGCCTCCCAAAGAACCACTGGATAAAGAATTACATGGTCAGACATTGTCAGAAAGGTTGGGAAAAACCATTTTGGTGGTTCTATGGGAAGATATACATGCTTCAAAAGAAGTAGTAAATAAAGCTGGGTGGAAGGAAAAAGACAAAACAAAACAATGGATGTTTGTGCAAGGGGAAGAGAAAAGAGAGAAGTCAGATTTTGGGTTTATATTAGGTGACTAAAAGATGATATTTGGGTTCTTCATACAATAATAATAACTAATTTTTATTTAGCATTTCTTACATGCCAAACACTGATGTAAACACTTTTACATTTATTAACTACTATAATTTTTAAAACAATCCTGAGAGGTAGATAGTTTTCTTATAATTTACTAATGAAGAAACTGAGGCACAGTAAAGACAACTATCCTGCTTAAGGTAACACAACTAATAAGTGGCAAATTCAAGATTCTAATTCAGGCATTCTGATTTCAGAGCTCATACCCTTAATTACCAGACTGTTCTACCACTCTAGTAGATATTAGGCCTTTCCTCTACATAAGGTTGTAAATTCACATACTTTTGTTATTTATTATTTAATTTCCCGCTACTCAAGTTTGAGGGAGGAAGGCTATTTTATTTTATTTATTTATTTTTTTGAGACAGGGTCTCACTCTGTCGCCAGGTTGGAGTGCAGTGGCATGATCTCGGCTCGCTGCAACCTCCGCCTCCCGGGTTCAAGCGATTTTCCCACCTCAGCCTCCCACATAGCTGGGACTACGGGCGTGTGCCACCATGCCCAGCTAATTTTTGTATTTTTAGTAGAGATAGGGTTTCACCATGTTGGCCAGGATGGGAAAGCCATATTTTATTTGCCTTTTTATCCCTAATAAACACTGTTCTTTTTTTATAGAGCTGCTTACTGAGTAAATGAATCAATGAATGAAAAATTTCAGTGACCATTTTTCCCTCTAATTTTAGGATCTTCACACTATATAGCAAATCACTACCACTTGATCTGGCCTGTCGAGTCTGGGATGTATTTTGCAGAGATGGGGAAGAATTTTTATTTAGGACTGGATTAGGAATCCTCCGATTATATGAAGATATTCTCCTGCAGATGGACTTTATTCATATAGCGCAGTTTCTAACTAAATTGCCAGAAGATATCACATCGGAAAAGCTATTCAGTTGTATTGCAGCCATTCAGATGCAGAATAGCACCAAAAAATGGACTCAGGTAGAGTGACATTTTCCTCTCTCTAACAGATGTGTTAAAACAGTTGACTTACTGTAAAAAAATTATATATTTCTTAAATGTTAGTGCTTAAAAATATGTCTTTTAAAAATAATTTTTGACTTCTAAGAAGCAAGAATTTAAATCAAATTGCCCACTTTTCAGCTATCCAAACCTAGGGCTTTATTTTATTTTATTTTATTTCATTTCATTTCATTTCATTATTTCATTATTTCATTTCATTTCATTTCATTTCATCTGTTTTTTTGAGACAGAGTCTCACTCTGTCGCCCATGTTGGAGTGCAGTGGTGAGTTCTCTGCTCGGTACAATCTCCATCTCCCGGGTTCAAGCGATTCTCCTGCCTCAGCCTCCCAAGTAGCTGGGATTACAGGCACATGCCACCACGCCCAGCTAATTTTTTGTATTTTTAGTAGAGACAGGGTTTCACCGTGTTAGCCAGGATGGTCTGGATTTCCTGACCTCGTGATCCACCCACCTCAGCCTCCCAAAGTGCTGCGATTACAGGCGTGAGCCACTGCTCCCGGCCGGGCTTTATTTTATTTAAGTCCAATAATATCAATTTAGTGAAGTACAACCCACCGTAGTCATTTATTTGCCAGAGTAGTTATTACTTTGGTATTTCAAATAGACAACAATTTTATTTATTAAATACCTGCTGTGTACTAGGGTTTGTAGTGGAAAGAATATATAATGTATGGTCCTGGCTTTTTAGTCTTGTTAGGAAAGTAGTCTTTCCTAACTTAGTCTTGTTAGGAAAGTAAAAGTATTGGCAATCTAAGTTAAGTGACATAAAAGGATGGCAGTATCATTTAATCCATGAATGACATAAACGATTGGCATTATTAAATTCACAATCTTATTTGTTCAGAAAATGTTAGTTACCAAATAGTAATTTCAGAATATTTGGCAATTGGTAAAAATTAGAATATAATCGTATTTCACGATTAGGAAAAAAATAAAGAGGATTTGAGAATGGCACACTTTCAGGGGACAGAGTTAAGTATAATAAAGCTTTTTCCCATTTATAGTTATTTAAATCTCTTTAATCTGGGTGGTAGTTTTTGAGGATTAATCTTTATTTCATATAATTTTCAGGTCTTTGCATCTGTAATGAAGGATATTAAAGAAGGAGACAAGAACAGTAGTCCTGCTTTGAAAAGCTAGTCTTCAAAATTGACAGACTAATTGACATCTAAAATGTGGTTTTTGGATAAAGGGTTTTGTTTCCTATGTAAAAGGCATGGAAGAAAATGTTGGAGATATCTAAAAGAATCAAGAGGTGGAAGACTGCTGATTTTACATTTTATGGCTGAAGTAAATGAAATGAATAACTTATTGTCAGTATTAAACTATTATTTTGTAGGTAGAGTCATTTTTCAAAGGAAAAAGTTTAAATGGTGAGTTTATACTCCACAATTTGGAGTAAACAGTTTAATGCAATAAATTTTTAAAATAGCTTTGGAGATACTTCAGATTTTTACATCTTTTCTTTTGTAACAGTTACCACAAAGATACTCTGGAGGCTAGAGTAGGATTGTTAAATACTATTGTTAACCTCCAAAGTACTATAGTACAGACATTGTTTCCAGTTCTGACCTTTTGAAGATATTATAGACCAGTAATAAACAAATTTGATTGTAAATTAATTTAAGTCACTGAAGATGTCATTTATCTTCATTCACAAGTTGAGGCAAATTTGAGTTACCCAGGAAATGGAAATGTTGGTGGGAGATTGTTTATTGTTTGTTTAGATGTTTTTCCACAGTATCGTGTCCATTTGTTTTTTAAGGGAAATTTGTTGTCTTCCTTAAGGAATTCCTATCACTCAGAGAATTTTAGCCGTTCTGGTTCTAGTGTAACAAATTATTCATCTAATAATTTGACATTAAGAAAACTATAAATAACTGGTAGAAGGAAAGTTCTTTGCACTTTAGTGGATTGAAGACTTGACTTTGAGAGTAAGTCCAAAAATATATATGATGTTTCTCAGTGATAAGAGTAAAAAGTAATGAATCCTCAGAGTTTTTAAATAGCATGCTACTTGGCAAGACTTCATATTTTTTAGTTACAATTCTTCCACTGCCCATAGAAACAAAATTTGTTAACTCCAGTTTGAAATTTGAAATCTAATATGTAGCTAAATCTGTGACTTGTAAAACTCTATACATAACTTTTCTTAATCAGTGGAAATAAGAATAAAAGAAAAAGGTAAAGTTAATTTTTTTTTCTAAGTCTACATCCTAGCCCTTGATTCAATTGCCTGAAGAAGCTGTGTGAGATTAGTCTGGTTATTGGTTCCTTTATCTGTCAGTGCCATCTTAATCTCTTCACATGTTACACTAAATGCTGCCTATAACCCATCCTCATCTTCTTTACTCATCATTGCTTTCTTCAAGGAAGGTCTTGATACTGCCTCGTCTACCTCATTATCTGCTAGTCTAGATAGTGACTCTTTGGAAGATTGGTAGCCCTGAATGAGTTATCCAACTTCCGCTTCCTCACATTGGCCACTTTGCATAGGTTTGGGAACTTAGCACGTGCTAAATCCTCATGCCCATAGAGGCGAAATACTTTGAGGAATGGGAGCGTCTCTTCACTGTGTTCTTGAATCAGCCTTCTCTCATCCGGCAAGAAATGCATGGATTTCCCTGCCAACTCTAGGAAGTAGTGCTGCATGATTGAATCATTCTTTGATGAATTCTTTCATTGTAACATAGGGAGTCATTTCCAAAAAGGTAGATATGAGCTTAAAGTACATTGACTTATGAATGCTTTGCCTGTGGGCCCAACAGTGTCATGACCCTCCAATTGGAACATAGCATGAATTATTTTTATGTCGAGTTCTTGAACTGCTAATCAGGTGTATGTTTCCTTGAAGTCCAGAGCAGGATCCAGGTCAGATGAAGGAGGTGGTATGCCTGGCTTAACTGCTGAAAATAGAACATTGAAACTTTTCACAATGTGCTGCATTGGGTTTCTGCTTGGCTTTCTCACTGAATAGTAAATTGGGGAAAATGCTGCTTTTACTATTTTGTGTTTTATAGCAACATTAATAGCATTTTCCCAGTCAGGTGCTGTCCAGGAACATTTCCTTTGGAAGGTCTGAACAGAATGATCTGGCTTGATGTATTTCTTGAGCTCTAGTACCATATCATAGAATAGGTTAAATGTAGCCAACAACAATGTCAGGACAATTGACATTGTCCTTACAAGAGTGAATGCATTGTCTTTTGGAACTGCTACTAGAGCCATACATGAGGCAGCGAACGCATCTTTAGGTGGTGGCAAGGCTATATCTGATTGACAGAGATCTCTGATCTCTAATGACATATTGCTATTGTCCTATTATGTTTAAATTTGAATCTAAATCACTTGAGTGTTATGAGTGATGGCTATATAACATGCCATTTAGTTAGATTTACAGTGTTTTTTTTGTTGCAGTTTAGTTTGAAACAGCACTTAAGCACACTGTTTCTGTTAGTGCTATATAGTTTTCAAACTAACAAGCCTGGGATCCTTGTTAGTGTAGTGACTGCCTCTTTAGGAGTATGGGACCCTAGGGTGCCCATATATTTTTACTCCATGGGTCATTCTAGTCTACAGACTACTAGTAGAACCCTCAAAAGGTAACTGCTATTATAGGGACTTACTTATTGGAAACTGGTAATACAATAAAATATTGAAGGAGGGGCCATGGTCTTAGTAGGTTTTAGGATGACCTTTTAACTCCAGTAACTACTTCCTTGGTGTTGGTATCCCTGATAGAGGGAATATAACCTCTGGCAGTAATCTCATTCAGTTTATACTACCTGACTAAATTTAATCATACTTTTATGTATTTGTTTCCTCAGTTGGACCTAAGTTACTATATTTCTTTTTCTTATTTTTTTATTATTGTACAGTTTCTTTACCTTTCAAGTATAAATGTGTATATAAAATGTAAATACAAGGAATTCACTAAAAACCACTCATAACAATTACTGTGTAAATAAAACTGGTAAGCTGAGTAATTACTTGAAATGAGTCTTCATTACTTTGGGGATATCTGTTTTATTTAACTACATCTCAAGGAAAAAAAGGAAATAATTTTTGTTTTTGTTTGCCAAATTTGTCTTCCAAGGAATGCACTAAGCCTTCAGTCTTTTTAGACTGGCAGTACTGGCAGCTAAAATATTGTACTGTATCTTGAGACCAGTATGTAGGAAATATGTGATAATTCACATAGTCAGTATATGGCAGTTTTTGTTGTTATTGTTAAAGTATATTTTCAATTAAAAAAACCTTTTCCTAAAATACTCAAAATAATGTGAAATTTAATATGTGTTTCATTTGTTTGTCTACTCAATATATATATATATATCTTACTTAATGTTCCTTTAGTCCAGGTCTACATTGCCTTATTTAAATGCTGTTAGAAAAAAAAAAATGCTGTTAGAAGACTCCGGTAACTCGCATAGTTTTCTACAGTCAGCTTTTGCTGATGTCTATTGCATTTGTGACCTTTGAGTATATTTGTTTGGCTTTATAAAATTAGGTAGCATTTGCAAAAGGGCATTGACATTTTCAAAATCTCTGACTTCAAGATAATAGCTTTACTTGTAGCTTAGGAACTAATGTTATTTTGACCTAGGCCTGTCAACTCTTTAGAGTCTACACTACTGAAGGGTATAATTCTAAAGCAGATAATCATGAAATAATTTATCATACTTCATAATGTCATATGATTTATTTTTACTTTTCATTTTGTTTTTGTTTGGGTAAGATAAAATTATTTTATATTCCAAGAGTGTATTCAGACAGCAGAGACTAGTATAAAAAAAGAGTCAAAAAGGCCGGGCGCGGTGACTCACGCCTGTAATCCCAGCACTTTGGGAGGCCGAGACAGGAGGATCACGAGGTCAGGAGATCAAGACCATCCTGGCTAACACAGTGAAACCCTGTCTCTACTAAAAATACAAAAAAATTAGCCGGGCGTGGTGGCAGGCGCCTGTAGTCCCAGCTACTCTGGAGGCTGAGGCAGGAGAATGGTGTGAACCCGGGAGGCGGAGCTTGCAGTGAGCCGAGATCGCGCCATTGGACTTCAGCCTGGGCGACAGAGCGAGACTCCGTCTCAAAAAAAAAAAAAAAAAAAAAAGCAAAAAAGTGTGAGGTAGCATTGGACAGTAAGTTACATTAAAATTAAAATTTGTCATGACTAACTGATAGTGTCAGAAAACAGTCTTCTGAGAGGAAAAAATGTTTTTGTATTGATTCATATTATTTTGCTGTTTGACAAGCATTGTCTAAAATATTCTCAACTGTAATAAAACTTCATTAATTAGAACTTCACTGCTTTACAACATGTAAAAACTAAAATGAAATCCAAGATTTCAGGGAAACTAACCACTCCAGAGAAAGCCCTGCTCTTTAAAAATATTGTTTGCTTGGTAAGAGTGTAGTTGCAAAAGTGGGAAATTTGAATTAATACACTTATATTTCTTAAGCCCTGATTATTGCCAAGCACTGCCTCTTAACATTTTGTTAGTCTACATAAAGTTTTAAAGGCTTGGGAAATTCCAAAATTGCCTTTCTTTCCAGATACTCTGCTGTTCATATTGATCATCCCTTGATCTCAGTTAATGAGAATCAGCTTATGTGCATTTTATTTTGTAGGTTTGATTTATTTTCTAGTAAACACAAGGAAGGAAATTTGACTTAAAATTATATTATGAAAGTGTTTCATTTGAAAATTTACGTAAACAATACTAACTTTATTAAATTTAAAGTAAAATGACTTTTGTACTATTTCAATGTATTTGAAAAATCATTTTTACAATAAATATGTAAATGATAAATGAATATAGACTTGAAGGAGTATATGAAATTGACAACAATGGGGTATATTTGTTCTCATTTTTCATCCTCAGGCATAATGCTATACACAATGGTATAAAAGCAGAAAGCAAAGCTTGAAATTCTGGTCACAGCTGAGCGCGGTGGCTCATGTCTGTGATGCTAGCACTTTGGGAGGCTGAGACAGGAGCATCACTTGATCTGAGGAGCTCCAGATTAGCCTGGGCAACATAGTAAGACCATCTCTTCAAAAAATTTAAAAATTAGCTGGTCATGGTAGCATGTGCCTGTAGTCTCAGCTACTTGGAAGGCTGAGGTAGGAGGATTGCCTGAGCCCGGGGGCGTTGAGGCTACACTGCGCTGTGATCACACCACTGGACTCCAGCCTGTGCAACAGAGTGAGCCCCTTTCTCAAAAACATTAAAAAAAAAAAAAAATTGGGCCAGGCGCGGTAGCTCATGCCTGTAATTCCAGCACTTTGGGAGGCCAAGGCGGGCGGATTACCTAAGGTCG